CGACTTATTGTTGGCGAGAACGGAGAAATAAATAAACTCGCTGTGGAGGCCACTGATGAATACAACAAGTAGCATCCAATGAGCAAGAAAGTCAACCCTGGTAGGACGGAGGAGCGGTTCATATACGATAAAGGGGGAGGAGGCCGCATGGGAATACAAAGCAAATACAACCTGGGCACCTCAACTTCAACGACCAATACCACAACAGAGCTGTGCAATTGGAAACGATTACACATGCGTCCCATTGAGTGAATTACCATTGGACCGGAATACAGCCACGCCGATTTCTAGCCCAAAATGAGACAAGGCCTGGCGGACCTTCACTGGGCACTCCTAAACACCCAGCATGATGAAATCAGGTCGACATTATACCCTACGCGTGCGGAGTAGTACTGGACAAGGAAGGACGTGGCCTTGCCCAGGTCCTCCGTCCTTGTCTCATCCTGTACAAACCGCCGTAGTAGCTGAGACATCGATAGTAACACCAGTAGTAGTAATAGGCGACGCCGCCTCACCACCTCAGCGTAGACTTCTGCCACCTTATCGTCGTCCCCCCGCATTTGGTAGAGTCTAGCCAGCTTTGGTAGGACCTCCTGGTACACCTCCGGATCCATCCTAGAGCTCTTCCTGAAGATCTTCCACGCCTGAACAACCCTTGCTTGTGATCACCAACAACCGAGCAGCAACACTTCCCACCGCTTCATAGCAAGTCGCGGCTTCATCATCAAAGCACATATTAAGACAACAGTTACCCAAGGACCTCCACCCTATGAGGCTCTCAGGCCTAGACAGGAGGAGGAAGAGGAGCTGAAGAGACTAGACCTAAGCACCAACCTGAGCTCAACAGCCTTCCGGTAATAGTAGGCGGCATAGTTCATATGCCCTTGTGCCTCGTATACTCTACCCAGTGCACACCACGCTCTACATAGAGAACAACTAGCGGAGACCATCATTACGAGTAGTACGCCATAGAAGTCGGGTCCAATTCAGTGGCCTCCCTCAGAGCTGAGATGGCATCAGCAACCACACCTTCCTGCATACACCTGCTAGACCTCTCACCATTTTATAGTAGTCCTTCTTACTAGTACTACTCATTCGCCAAACACACCAATGCGGTGGCTTTCTCCACTGTTCTAGTATATAGTCGGCTCGCCTTACGGTAATACACCTTAGCATTGATAGTATCCTGACAGGAGCTGACACGACTGCATCATCATTCACTAGAGGCCTACCCATGCCCAGTTACTGCCTACCTATGGTATACTCCCATCA